TTTGCTGGCAGCTTGTGTCCAGGAAGGTACTTGACGTTTTCGTGCTCGGAGTTGATTATTTCAGTGAGTTTGCGCCCATTCACAGTCTCCTCAAACACCCACATTTTTACAGTATTGTCGAACTTTGCATTTTTACCAGCATTGGCACCCACGATCTTGGCAATGGCTGAGCCCCTGCGTGGTTAACAGTTACAAGTCAGTGTTCATTTTACGGGAAAAATCCATATTCTCACTCAGTCACACTGTGATCTAATGGGGTGATCATTAAAGGTAATGATTCCTATTTGATCATTAACTAATATTTCAGGGCAAGACGGCAAAGCTGCACGCAGAGATAAGCTGATAGCGGTATGCTGCAATCACCAATCCTCCATACGGTTTCCACGGGTGTACACCGAACTCCATTGAGAATTCTTGCAATTTTATTTTAGCATAAGCAGCAGCAAAATTACAATGGCTTTATAACCAGTTTATGGAATGATTTTAATTATTTGGGGGGTAATCATGAATTCGGAAATAAAAAGAAATAGACATACATTTAATTTCGTTCCAAAATAAGAGCTACAACTACAAAAACCACAGTGTGTGTATGAAAAGAATGTAAAGATTTAATATTTTTTATTCGGCTCATAAACTGAACCCACACACCGAATAAACAGGATGATTTAAAAATCTATTTTTCGTGTCAAATCATCTTTTATCTCTTTGGGGAGGTAACGTTAATTTATTAGACCGGTAAACGGAGCAGAGACATCAGCTACTGATGTCTCTGCTACCGCTAATAAGAGCGAGCTAACAGGCGGCAGACACCTTAAAGCTAACGACAAAAATCCCAGTAATGTTGCCAGACTTGTGGCCAGTTTTCTGCGATTATAAGCCGGCTTGTCAGCATGTGACTCCACGCGGAGATAAACCCAACTGTCGCCTCCGCTAACGAAGCCTATCTGGTAGTTACAGGTACAGCAGGTCAAACTTCCCGCACGTTACTGTGCACCGTGTCCAGCGGATAACCGCACATATGAGACAACCGGAGACGGTTCAAAACATCAATACTTCGACTTGCCAGTTTCCAGAGCCCACGATGCAGACTTTCTTCGGAGCTGCCATTGTGAAGAGGTAAACCGCTGAGTGTGTGGAGTGAACCTGTACTGACTGCAGTCCAGTTATGCAACACACACACAGTGCCTCCCTGGTTTTATTGGTCTGCCCGAGGGGAGACACCGGCCCGCCCATTAAAGCAAGGCCAAGGCCATCAGAGCAGAGGCTAGCATGCTAGACTGGGGCCAAAGTCTCCATGTCAGCCTATATGGTTTCACATCATCTGCATGTGCAAGTGACTTTTCACCCAGAGGCGGCCAAGCTGTCGGATTTTATTTAATTTAAAACCTGAACTATGGTTGTTTGAATTATATAGATGATCAATGCTGACATACTAACACGCAATCTAAACCATTATCTTGTCTGTATATGTGTAATATATACTCACCAGACGTAGATTTAGATTAATGACATATCTTACAATTGTAATTGACAAAACGAGATGGTTAAATATCGAATAATTACCAACTTAGCAACAATTACTAAATGATTACAACTTAATCAAATCTTGTAATGACATATGATAACATATGGGGGCTTTGCCAATTCCTGTAAAACAAACAAACAAAAGTGTTGGGAGTTGTAGTTTAAATAAATTACTGGATTAATGATACAAAACATTTGTTTAAACAGGACATAAAATTGTAATGTCAAGGTGATTATTTAACAGTTATATTCACACAGATAAAACATTTTTTATTTTGACTACATAAAACAGTTGCTTAAAAACATTGAAGTAAATATTAAAGTTTTCATTCCTTGAGCTCCTTGTTATTAACAATCAAAGCAAGGCAATCAGTGGATTATCTTGATAATCTAACCTGATACTAAGATACCTGAAATTTTAACTGAGGGGAAAAACAAAACAAAAAATATGAAACAGGATTAATGTTCAGGTTAGTATCTTCAAACTTTAACTGAAAATGTTCTTACAAACTAAAAATTTTAAGTTATACTTAGAAAAGTGCTTGAAAATTTCAGATACGTAACTCCAAATTTTGTGATAAGTTGAGATTTCAACTTTTATTTATTTATTTTTCAGTGGCAGAAACAATATTACATCGAAATATTACCTATATTTATATTTTCTCATGGGTGCTAGTGACTGCATACTCATACATCACTACTTCAAAAATGAGTCCTTTATTCTCCATTCTGGTGCTTTAAAGTATTTTTACTTACCTGTATTACTACTTCATTAAATGCTTGAATTTAGGAATGTTAATTGTATTTGATTGTTTTTACTTAGAGTGTGTTTCAAAGGCAAAAACAAAAGAAGTACTTAATCCTGTGAGACCCAGCCCATCAAAAGATAGCCAGAAAATTCTGATTTTTTTGGAACTGAGATGTTTATTAACCCTTAGAACAAAATCCATATTTTTTGCTATATGATATTGTGTATGATACATTTTTATTATATATTTATTACATATTTTTTGTATCATATTTCATACATTGGGCGTTTTTGGCAACTTTTTGTTAACAACAATAATGTTAATTTTACACAAAAAAAAGAGTTTCGTCCATAACATTTTGAAATTACGTCAAGTATCGATCATGTTGATGAGATAGAGGTCTCAGAAACTTGTGTATCAAATATAATACAAATGGCATTATAGGTCTTCTTCCAGTCTTTTAATTTAGGGTAATATGTAAACACTTTAAACGTGCATTCTTTTTTAATGATCAGCAGGGGGCGACTCCTCTGGAGGAAAAAAAAAGTCAGATTGTATAGAATTTAGAGGGATAGCGATCATTTGGCTCCCTTGATGTATAACCTCAGTAAACATTTTCCTGATGACTTTATGGTGTCGGTCTATTTTGCAAAATCTCATTGAGGACAGCATGATGGTGTAAGTTGGATCCCAGTGATTAGAAAAGTAAATAGGTTCAACTGTTGAAAGGCAGCCTAAGTTTTTGGGTAGGCTTATTTAATGATTTAAAAGTCTCAAAAGATGGTTGGTGGTTCGATTCCTGGCTTCCCCTAGTCTGCATGCCAAATATCCTTGGGCAAGATACTAACCCCAAATTGCTCTCTGATGCATCCGATGTGTGTGAATGCTACATAGAAAGCACCTAGAAAAATGTGCTTGTGCGAATGGGTGTGAATGGGTGAATGCACAAGTTGTGTAAAGCGCTTTGAGTGCTCAGAAGAGTAGAAAAGCGCTATACAAGAACCAGTCCATTTACCATTTAACAATGAGACTAGTATCTCTTATGTACAGTGTAACCACATTGTATTGTTAATGCAGCAGCAAATAATCTGAAGATCATCCAGTATAATTTTTGTTGAAGATAAAAAAGAAGTAGTAGTCCGTGAAATATTTAAAACTTTTCCATGGAATCCATTATGGCAGTCGTGTCTAATATTAGTCTCTGGTTGTAGCGCTAGCTTGTGGTTAAACCATTTTTTTTCACCAGTTAAAATAAAACAAAACTTTTTTTATTAGCAGTGTTTTTGAGTTTACTGTCCACTTCAATGGCTGAAAAAACTGTCAGAACATTAAAAGCAGGCCAATTTTAACAGTTTAATGCATCAGCACCAATAGCACAATGTTTGATAAACATTAGACAGGTAGGAACTTCTAAGTGAATTTGTAATGGTGTATTTTTTTTCTTTACCACTTTACTGCTCTTTCTGAACTTCTCTTTAAAATATAAGCAGGACATTAAAAGTCACTGGAGCAAACCACAAAAAGCTCACTGTGGCAAAAATTATTTGGTCCAAAGGGCTCAAACAAAGGACCACCTTGTTACGCAAGTGTTGATCAGTGGGTGAAGAGGCAACACGGGAAGGAAGTGCTCTCAGCAGTCTGGTTTAGCAAATTTAAAACAAACTGACAAAATCCAGCTTATTCTGCAGAAAATAGTTCAAAAAGAAAGAGTTGACTGGTCTGATATGTGAAGCTGTGTTGCTGCGGGGTTATTAGAGTCTAGGAGATATTTACTGTAGTTCATTTATAAGTGAAAATGTAAACGTTATAATGAATTTAAGCCAATATGCTTGTTCTTAAGCCAGTGGTTTTTTTCCAGGATCTTTCAAAGGGGGGCAGTGGTCCATCCATCAATCCCTTTTCCACACTTATTCAGCTCAACTCCCAGGGGCAGCACTGAAAGCACAGATGCCCAGACCTCCTGCTTCATAGCCACCTCCAACTCACACAGAAGAGTCCCCAAACTAGTCCAAAGACATAATCTCTCCCAGTCAGACATTCACATTCTTCCCTCACTTACAGGCAAGACCCCAAGATACTTGGAATTCCTCCACATAAGTCAGCAAGCCCTCCCCAACCCAGAGTGTGTGCACTATATTTTACAGCTGTTATACATGTCATCCCAGCCCACTCCACACCCACCTGCAAACTGCCCCAGTGCAAGCTGGGAGTCAGTTGAAGCCAACAAGAACAAATCATCATCATTATCAGGATCACATTGACGATACTGAAGTTGTCATCCTGCCCTTGTAGCATGCACCGAGAGACTGCTGTAAAAACAACAGAAGCTGCACCGAAACACAGGATTCAACAGTGAGGTCATGGTGCTAACAAAAGCACGAGTATAAAAGGAATTGGGGGAGTGGACCAAACCACTTCGAGACATATGAGGGGGGAGTCCATTTAAAAAAAAGAAAGTGTTGTTTTGCAGCTAAAATGAGCACAGGAACCTTCAGTGTATTATTTAACATTATATATTTATAGTTACAATGTTCCACTGAGGAGGACCACTGTGCTTTTTCTAGAAAAACGGGATCTGGATCCATCCCAGATCCACATTCAGCCACGCTCCTGCCTCCAAAGAAATTTCTTCAAAGCCAGAAGTCCATTTTTCGAACCTTTTACTGATTTTTCATGACGAAAGTGTAAATGATGACACATAACTCCTCGAAATGAATAAGAGATACATACAGTTAGCATTTGATCTTTAATGTAACAACCGATTCAAGTCCATTATTCATCTTTACATCACCAGACTAAAACAGCTGTCCTTTCATATCACAAATGAAAAGGCAAAAGTAAAGGAGGCGGCAAAAACAAAAGCAGTAAGCTGGGCGACCTCATGCAGCAACAGTCTGGCTATTTAATTCTCATGTACTGATGAGAACGGCTGCTGTGACTCAACTCTAGCAATATTAATAAAAACAAACAAACAGCCCCCCCTACTTTGTCTTTGACAAATAAACAAATTTACAGTCATTTACAGAAGAAAAAAATGAATTGAGACACACAGCAAGTTTCTTTGAAATAAATCCATTAAGTACACCGTTAGACAAACCAGACTATGCTAATACACGAGGATTATTATCCACAGTCAACAGTAATATTTACACTAAATTACAACTGATGGAATAATTGTGCTTGATAGTAACACCACACAGCTACACGCTAATCAGATCCCACTTCCTGTTGAGAACAACTAGGAGCAGAATAATGAACATGGTTAGATTTTTGGTAGGGATGCACCGACTGTGAACTTCTGGGCACGCCACGCTTTGTTCTTGTTTGCTTTTCCTTCGTGTGCCAGGAAGACAAGTAAATTTTCAATAACAGAACTGACACACCATCTTGCAGAGAAGTGAATGGTCAACAAGGCGGAGATCAGGCTGTGCCGAGGTTTGGCCGATATATCGGTGCATCCCTAATTTTGGTATATACACAATCATGAGGGAAACTCTCAAACATGCTCCGCAGAGCTCAGATTTTCTCCATCTACCTGACACCACACTCACTGTTGAGCATTTTAGGGCAGTTTCTTTCCACTTTTCTTTCATCGCCGTAAAACCGCAAATGAATACATGCTCACAAAACGCACCCAGACACGAGGACAGAAGAAGGCTTAAACTGCAGGTGTGGATGAACTGTACATATAGGATGCTTGCTGTACAGTGCTACATGCAAGTAAGCGTTCGAAAGTAAAAAAACATTCAAAATATTGATTCTAGTTGATGTGATCCAGCCTTGTTGACACAACAGAAGCAAAATTCCTTAAAATGTGACAAAAAGCATGTAAACATGAATGACATTCTCTTAAACGAATGTTATGGCATCACGTGTTAATAAATTTCTCATTTCTACAGCAAAGCTATACAGTACACGATGATTAAGTCTCTTTGTCATATTGTTCGATTACATCTTTTTTGTGGGGAATCTAGCAACTGGTTTTTAACTTCCTGCTCGTGTTTAACCCAAGTAGTTCCCTTGGCAGATCTTTTTCACAGCGGGCATTTGAACTTGTTACAGCAGGAAAAACACAGGTTACTGATAACATTCACAAGCGTCATATGATGGGCCAAAGTGCGAAACCGTGCGCAACATCAGAGGCTGGATGTATAAACTATGCGTGTGCATAAAAATCATACGTAGGCCTTTTTTACTCTCATACATAAACTGGTTATAACAAAGAATGTGCGGTGAAAATGTGCAAACAAACGTTTTCTGAGAGAAAGTGAGAAAGAGCTTATAGTGCTCATTTCCAATTCTGTATTTTTATTGTGGACTACATTACAATAGGTCTACATGAGTTACAGTTCAAATTATTCTTTGTGTGTCTTATGCTGGGCCTTTGGGTAGTTTATCGGTTCATTCGCTGTCTGAAAAAAGCAAAAACAAGAGCACTCAGAGAGCAACCGACTAGACTAAAACTTTGATGTTTTATGGTGTTTTTATTACAATACATAACGTTAGCCTGTCATGGTGTTACTGCAACACCATAGGGCACTGTATTGCAAAAAAAAAGTGTCCTCCATGCCCTTTCATATGAGATATTACTTGTTATAGATTCTTGAAATTTTGATCTTCGTGCTAACAGTATAGGTCAAATGCTTACCCAGGTACTTGTATCCCCAAAGGCCTTGTATATTGTTGTGAAGTTTGAAGACGAGCCATTAAAAACATTGGGTAATATAACGTTTTTACTGATTTTCACATGTCACCTTGACCTGATTTCCACCTAAATGAAATCAGCTTGAGCTGTTATTGGTATCTACCATCACACAAAATTGAAAATAATATCTTGAAAACTGCAGAGGCTAAACTGTTAACAGACAGACAAGCAAATGTAACCAATTGTATATTCCCTGTCTTCAAGGGAAGAAAAACTCTTAGCGCTTCTCCAATTCAGCCAACTTTCGTCTGATTGGCTGCCTTTTGCAAATAGAAGGTTTGTCCTGATATCTCAGGTTATTATGACAGTGGGGTCTGAACTAGCTTAAAGCTGCCTTTTTGCTAGCAGGGATTATTTACACATATCTGAAACTCTGGCCATGTTTATTATGACCATCCACCATTACCTCAGGATTTATGTGACAGACAATAACTACCATAAAACAAAACAGTTACTTTCACAGAGCTTACACTTACTCTTATTATTTAATCTTTTTCTATTTACAAACAGACCTAGCTACACTAATATGAGCAATTTAACATCTATAACATTAAATACAAATTTGGGGTGTACTAATTTTTATTGGGCTTAAAAAGTTCAATTAGGTTTCATTCACATAGTGCCCCTTCACAACTAAAGATGTGTGACTGTGCTAAGGTAAAGACCCTACAATAAGAAAGACAGAACCGCAGTGAACAGATGATGCCCTCTGAGCAAGCACGTGGTGACGGTGGGAAGCGAGATTTTATTACGTTTTATTCATCCAGCTGCAGGAACCCATAATTAAAGTAAATGGATCTCAGCTATCCTTACATTTGTGCTTTTACCTATTGTGACACATCAAAATGCTTTCTGTGAAAACCGCCTGCAACTACTTTTCAAGAAAATGTTGGGCTTTCTTTAATGTCCGCCTACTCTACATGGCAGTTACCTTTTAATCAGTCAGTTTTACTTAAATTATTTTTAGCACTGTCATCCTGCGAGACGAGGTAGTACAGTATGATGGCAAAATGCGTAGTTTAACAGGGGAAGACAGCTGTAAGTAAAAGAGAAAGCTGGTTTAGTCCCAACATTCCTGTAAATTAACAACTATTTCACACAAAAACAGTCAAACTGACACCACATTGCTGGGATTTCTAACACTGATTTACTGAACATATAATGAACCTGTGTAACCTTTAACTGTATCTGTTACTACGTCTTGAAAAGGTGTTTACAGAAGACCATGCAGTTATTCTAACATTTTTTAAGTTTTATTTCTCTTGGTTCTCCTGCCCTCGCGTCTCTGTGGCCGTCCGCCTACCTCAGCCACACGTCCCTATTTCATCATGTCGCTTACACACCTTAATCAGGCACAGTTCACACACTTCCTCTGTTGTTCCAGCAGTGGGAAAAGAAAGAAAACCTGCAAAGAACAAAGTCCACGAAGCTGCTCACAAGCGAGAGAGTGCGGCGGCTCTCTGCCCCCGGCTGCAGAAGCTTAGTGAAAGTTACTGACGTGACACTTGACATCGTCTAAGCTCAGGACCGTTCCCTGGTCATTGTTGTTGTTATGCTTGTGCTTCTTATCGGAGCAGCGGCACAGTTTGTACTTCATTACCTGAGGGGATGAAAAGCACAGTCGCAGCAAGGTCGGTGCAGGAAAAGAAATAAGTCGCATAACGCAACAAGAAATGCTTTTAATTATTTCAATTTTCTAAATATGAGGTGTAAACACTGCTTCAAAGCCAGAAATAAAACAAAACTGTGTTGTGAAATACGGTCTCCTCTGATCACTCCTACTGATCTAATTATGGTCAGGTTTAAATACATCAAGTCCAAAGCTTTGCATATTAAAAATGACAGACTATATGGCCTCTTAAATGCCTATGTCTTACCTCATAAAGGTAGTCAAATATCTCCAGAATAGTCAGTATACTTGCACCAATAAAAAGTCCCATCTGACCACCAATATCACCTGAAATGAAAGCATATTCATAACAAATGCATGAAGACAAAAAAACGCAAGCAGTCTATGTTATATAATAGAAATGAAGCTATACCTAAAAGTCCAGCCACTTCATATGCTTTCTTCTGTTCAATAGTTTCATAATTGAGAGCTTCAAAGAAGATATCTAAAACCAGGATATTTTCCCTGTGGAGACAACATAAACAAATGAAGACACAAATCCCTCATTTTGAAGCTGCTCAATAATAATTAAGAGCACTTGAGAGATGAGATTTGAATGTTTTCTTTGTCAGTGGCTCTGAAAGGACTGGTTCGACGTTTGAAATATGACCCTGACAATGCCATCTAAGTTATCACAACACAGCTTTTGAGACAACCTTTTTCTTCTTCCTTCAGCTTCTGCCTTTGGAGGCCACATCTCACTCTATCCCAACATCCTCCAACACATCAACCCTCTGAATGTCCTCCTTCGCTATATCTCATCTGCGCTCTTTCTGTTTTCCTCCTGTCTGACAGCTCTATCTTTAACTTCCTCTGTCCAGTATGTCCACTATCCCTCCTCTGCACATGTCTGAAGCATCTCAACTTTGTCTCTCTAAATTTATCTCCAAACTGTTCAGCCTGATACATTCATTTCTAATCTTCTCCCGGTCCCTCATTCTGAAAATCTTGGCATCTTCAACTCAGCCACCTCCAAAGTTACTCCAGGGTAACTTTGTCTCCAAACTGATTCCCGATCCTCTCCATCCTGGTCGCTCCTGTTGTCTCAACACTGGGTTTAATACGGTTTTAATCTACTCCTAGATTTCAGTGTGATAATGGGGTAATCTTGGGCACATAGCTCTTGCTGTGAAGGCAGAAGCCCCACCTACTTACTGTCTGTCTGTACAGAAATATGATCAGAAAATATCAAAATGCACAAAAGATGGTATAAGTTGATGAAAACTGAATCAAAGCAGTTTGGTATTAGATTTTATTTCACCCCTTAAAACCATTTAGAAAGTCATCAGTCAGCACACGTTTCTATTGATGATGGCCTCTCAGGTTGGGTTTTTCTTCCTTTTTCTTTTATTTGAGAGGGAAACTAAAAATGTTTAGCTTCTGGACACAAACTAAATGAATATCTTGAAAGAACACATTGGGCCTTTGAAAATGCCCCTTTTTTATATTTTGTTAGTGAAAGTCAATGAAATACAATAATCCTGTAATAAAAGAATTATTCATCGCAGGCTTTGCTTTGCGCACACAATAATGAGAAAACCCAAACATACTTACTTAATGTACTGCTCAGATTTGTTGTATTTTTTTGCAAGATATTTAGCAGAGGCCTTGCTGGGGATCTTGACAAAAGACAGCTCTTTGCTGTATCTGGTCATGTTGCACGGCGTCTCACACACACAGAAATCATTGTCTCTTTCCACCAGGAAATCTGGAGAGAGGAAAACCAGAGCTCAGCTTGACCTTTGAATCAGTGCGACTGCGACTTCAAGATGTCACGAGCTGATGTGCCTGCATCTGTGTGCGCGTGTGTGTCTTTCTGATGTTTTTGGGGTATAAATCTGTGCATTCTCCTTTTTTGGGGGAAACTAATATCATAAAGACATATTAAGGTAATATCAGGTTTTGGTTAAATGTGCAGGAAATAAATGTGATGTCCTGTGAAGCGATGCAAACATGGCTCTGTTTGTGCATGTGTTGCTGTTCTTTAAAGATTTAGAGGAGTATGAAGCCTCTTTCTTACCCAGAGCTGGGTCAGCACATTCTTTGTACAGCTCGGGGGTGCAGTAGGGGGCATCGCCTGTAGCAGCAGCAGCAACACACACTCACGTTAATGAATTTTTTCTTTGATTTCCTTCTTTGAAGTGCCTTCAGTAATTTCTCAGATCGGCGTAAGTCTGATACAACACAGAGAAAGACCGGACGCCTACCAGGCATGTGCACCATGCGACAGTTGCAGTTGTCCACCAGGTAGCGCGTTTCGCAGTCAATGCGACAGGCTGTGATGCTGTAAGTGTCAAAGAAGTCCGACTCCATTGGCGTCACCTTGCAGTCTCCCCAGGGTGGGGGGAGATATATCAGCTGCAATGACCACATAACGACTTAATAGTGTTTTAAATAAGAAATAAATACCGCATGAAATAAAAAGCAGGCTTCTCCTTGCATGGAAAAGCAAGAACTAAACAACTGAATCCATTTTTTTTTTTTTAAATTCTACAACTGCACAAATGGGAGAGAGATTTAAAATGTCTGATGTGACCTGCGGATAATTCTAATCTATTATTCAGAGCTATGGATGTGATTTTTTTTATTAGGAATAATAAAGTAAAACACTCATTTAGTTTAAAAAGAGATTTTAAAGAGGCTCCAGTTTAACTTTGTTCAGTCGAAGAAAAGGGAAAGTGAAAACTATAAACATCTGCCATAATTCATAGAAATGTTTTTTTTTTACCAGCTGTGGCTATTATTTTCAATTTCATATTCATATCAGTGTTGAAACTAAAGTATTTCTGGTTCTTCAAATGTTTGATTTTAGATTTATAAATAGGTCTCACAAGGGAAATCTTTGTCCTACAGCAACATGATAAAGAGTAAAAATAGCACAGCCTACAATAAACAACACAGTCAAATAAAAAGTGCCACAGAAGCCCAGTAAGTGCCTTATACTGTGAGATAGTGCAACAGAAACAAAACAAAACAGAAAGGTCAAAATAAAGTTAGTTAAAACCACTAAAAGTATGACTGACATTGTGTAAAAGTGATTTTATCCAAACAAAACACTGAAAAGGATCCAAAGACGCATTCTTGGTTTGTGTGTACTTTTATTTTTAATTATAGGACAAAATGTGTCTGATTGAAAGCTGATTAGTGAATCAATGAATCAATCAAATGGCAAGAAATCAGTTGGTAACCAAACTGTTTCAATCATTTGAAACCAGATTATTTCATGTCTGTTCCTCATATGGAACCTTGCTTTGCTTTGTTATAGTGAATTATTAATTGTTCAGATCTCTGAACTCTTCCTTTGCCGAGTATGATAACGTAATAATTGTAAAAATTAATAAGCAACAGTTTGTACCCTCTGTTCCTGACAGGAAACAAATGTCTGGAACCCGGGTGCCACTCCGAATCCGAGCTGGTCAATGAAGGACGGCTCGTCCTGACTGTGGATCTGAACTTTGACCCCCGCTTCAAAAGAAGTCTCATCTGCAGGAAAGCAAAACGTTTGGGATCACTGTAAAAATGAGTTTCACTAAGGATCCAAACACGCAGAAGAGTTTCAGGCTCTGAGGTATCGACGCCCACAAACACCAACACATCAATCACACCAGTGTGACAGACAGCTATAACCTGCCACGTGAGTGGGCTTCCTCTCACCTGTTTCTCCCCAGACTGGCAGGGATTCATCCTGCTGAATGTCCAGCATGAGCTCGAGGCCGTTACCCATACCTCCCTTGGTGGTGATGAGGGGAGTGCGCCCATCACCGCCAGCGTTAAAGGTGTAACACTTCCCATAGCGAGTGAAGACCTGAGTGACACAGGAAAAATATATAATTTTTTAAGCAGTTAGAGAAATGTTTCTGAGAGAAGGATTCAGGTCAATTTTGTCACAACCACACAATATTACTGGAATATACAACTGAATGGAAAATTATGGGCTACTCCACTGCACTCATTTTCCTTAAAAAACAACAACAACAAAACAAAACAAAAAAAGGGTATTAAATGGAAACCCGATCTGTCTGCACAGTTGTGGGATGCTGGAAAAAAATGAGAGCCTGGAACATATAAGACTTCCACTGAGCGCTCAGAGGATAACAAGGGTTAAAAGCGGATCACCTTCTTGCGAGGTGTAAACCACCAGCGCAGATGGCTCACCAACAAAAGAAAAGACAAGAATCTATACACAGCATCAAAAAAGCTACCTCGTCGTCAGGTCATGTGTGATATCTCTAGGGAAATGTTGGCCAGTTCTAAGATGTTGCAGAGCAAACTGAACAGGCACCTGGCAACCAAGACTCTCTTTAGAGGAGAAACTTCAAAAACAGTCCTGGCTCTGAACCAGAGACTACAACCTACTCAGCAGTCTAAACAGTGCAGGCAGTGTAGGCTAGCAGATTTGAATCCCAAAACTTCTCGTGTCACAGCAAGAAGGCCCTCAGTGAACATTCTACACTTAAATATCAGATGAAAAGCTTTGACTGTCTAGAGATTTGCACAAATAGGTTCACTTTGGCACCCAGTGTGGTCTCCTGCTGCTGCAGCCCATCTGCTTCAAGGTTTAACATGTCACACATTCAAAGATGTGCATACTTTGTTTGTGACGAGCGCAAGCAGTCAGGCCATTCTACTCTGACCTCTGACATCAGGAAGGCATTTATGCCTGCTGCTCACTGTATATTTTCTGTTTTGGATTAGCTTCTGTAAACTCTAGGGATGGCTACGCTGGAAAATCCCAGTAGATCAGCAGTTTCTGAAATTCTCAGATGACTCCATCTGGCACTGACCACCGGGCCACACTCAAAGTCACTTAAATCACTTTTCTTCCCCATCTACTTTGGGCACCTTAACCATGTTTACGTAGATATGCTGCCAAAGGATTGGCTGATTGAGAAGGAGCAGTCTAAGGAGGAGATGAATAGGTGTGCCCAATAAAGTGGACAGTGTGCCATAAATGGCTTAATATACAGCTTGGTGTGAATTAGAAATGTTTATGTGATCTATTAAACTCTACCATCTAGACCTCTAATCAACAGCAGAAAACCAGCAGTCAGTCTGCAAACAGTGTTTTGCAGACATTCGGTGCTTGGGAAGAGACTGTGGGACTGTGTGAAAAGTGTCTGATAAGGTGATGGAGGCAAGGTAAATGCTATTGAAGTGTCGACATTCTTGGAAATAAAATTGCTGGTGTTGTGCCTGATCCATTGCCTTTATTTGACAATGTAATCCAAAGAAAACCTTATGATGTAAAGGCTATTTTATGCAGATATGAATTGAGATGTACAGCCTCGTCTTTCTTGCTGGTGTGCCTTGGACAGTAAAACTTGTGTCAGAGGATTTGAGAGTGTTTTTCCACTGGGGGTCAGTGTTTGACTCGATAAATGGTGTGTGTGTGTGTGTGTGTGTGTGTGTGTGTGTGTGTGTGTGTGTGTGTGTGTGTGCGCTGACTGTATGACTGAAATAGTATGAGAGGAAAGGAGAGAGGCAAATGTGTGACAGACAGAGGAGAAAGAAGGAGAGTGGAAGAGAACGAGGGAGAAAGGAGGTTTTCCCGTGGGAGTGTGAGTTACACAATCAACCCAGTGAGGTGATGGAGACTGGCAGACTGGCGATTTAACATTCCCTCACATGCTCTTTATGGCACTTATAATGGACCTGATGTTACCATGGAGACCAAGCATCCCGACAAGGAAGAATACCGCCTTAATTTTAAAGGAAAGCCGAGACACAGACGTTAGACTGAACCTCTGTGAGACATCAGCAAAAGGCCATTTGACAAACAGCCTCGAGCGTGCGACGGTGAACAGACAGAAGCGTAACAATATTGAGCTTTCTTCGGCGCGGAGTTAATGTTGTATTAGTTTTTAGTGTTGTGTGAGTCACATAACCCATGCAGGGAGAGAGCAGGAGAGCAAGGAGCAATGGAGGAGCGAAGGAGGGCAGGGATGCAAAGTGAAAGAGACAGAGAGGGGGGGGGGGGGATTTAGCTGCTAACGCTTGAAGCTGGCTATTGTTCAGCATTATAGCACAGAATGACATATCTATGATTAGAAAGAACAAACCAAGCAAGTAATTGTAGAGAAAGAGTTGGGATCTTGCCGAGGGCAGTTTAAACATTTAGGCCATCTATCACGTCAAGTCAGCGAGAGACTGCTGCTGGTTGCAGAAGCAGACATCAATCTGAGTGGGAGAAAAAAACAAAACAAAACACAAAAAGATTCTGCACAAAAAAAGCAAATAAAAGCAACAAAATAATGTGTGTCCACACCTTTAGAATTTTTCTGTCATATGCTGCAGGCTTAAATAAAAACTGATGAGGGTAAAGACGCACTTGTTACTTTTAGAGACTGACACTCCAACATCGACGCCCACCTCACACCACGACGGGCCAGATGTGCGGAGGTGAGTTGTGAACACCCAAGTGCCACAGTATGAACGGCTTCCACATGAGGCTGTCTAAAAATGGGCACCTAAATTTCCATATTTACCTTCAAAACAAGCAACAGCTGGCCAGTGGGTTGGTTGTTTAAAGAAAAACAAAAGTTTTAAATTCTGGTGTATATTTCAAAGTCTTTGAAGTTACTTATAAATATGTCAGTCTTAATTGTGGAAGTTGTCTCTTAGTGTAGATTTACCGAGGTGTTGGGTCTACTTTTATGCCACATATTAACAGTTACAATGCTCATCTTTAAGGGCATATAATCCTTGTCAACCTAAAGTTTGGGCTTCATAATGCTCTAAACACTCAAATTCAGTCAGATTGTTCAATTCGCTGCTTTGTATGATGCCAAAGGAAAGGCGAAATCTCAAGCAAACAGCTCTGACTGTAAGCACAGCACCTGCTGTTTAATTCTTCCCTTTCTGCGGCGCAGCCAATGATTAGAGAGTTTGCCTAAAGGTCCTTGTTGTAGACCCCTGTGTTTAAAAATAGTTTAAATCCCTCTAAACTAACTAAACATATCGATAACATTTAAAGAAACAACACCTATGACTTCATGTCCTGAACATTTATGTATCGTGTTGACAAGATAACAAGTGAAGGTAAATTAGAGATGAGCTGTACTTTTGTGTAATACCAATCTTTTTTAACCACAAGATGATGCAGAACGTTAACCAGGTAAGAAATTAATAACACGTTCTTATTTAAAATAGGCCACATTATGGAAGTTTGTTTATGCCACTAAAAATATTATTTTTTCTTTTGCCATCCTTAAGTCAAAGTTTCAGAAAGAACAGCAGCACACATCTGAAAACTATTACACACATGAACTGGTAAAATGCTGCCTCCTAGTGGTTTTTGTTAAAATCTTCACAGGGTAACTACAAAAGTAACTTTTAGAACAAGCTGGCAATCTCAAACCTTTCATCTTGAATGTGTGTGTGTGTGTGTGTGTGTTTTTAAAGGGAATCCATCCAACATTTGTTGGGATATTTGACCCACAGTCTCAAAAGTTAATTTAATAATGCTGCATGAAAAACCGAGAGAACATCAAAATCAGCAGGAATCCTGTGGGGATTTTAAAAGTTTCATGGCAATATTTCTGATAAATGTTGAAGTATTTCAGTTAGGATTAAAGTGAACCAACTGACAGACCAACACCATCCCTTGAGCCCTGGTGTCACCGCAGGTAGAAATCATCCAGTAAACATAGCACTACCCAGCCTCTCTTTTCCCCATTTACTCCCAGCCTTCTGTAATTGCTCTTTGCTGCACACTATTGATCACAGGTACACACTGTGGACCCTGACAGATTGTCAAACATGTGTAAGAGTGGAAAGGCTCTTTCAGATCATAAGGTGACTGAATTTCCTAAATAAAATCAATCATGACAAAAATGTTAAACCCGTGTGTATGACAGGTGCACGATTGTTCATAGGCGGCTCGATCAATACGCAGATCTGAGTTGATGTCAGGTAACCGGTGTTCTTTTCCTCTGGTTGAATAGTTGTGACAGAGGTGGTAGGAATAAAAACATGAACCATGTATAATGCACAAAGTCTGCACGGCACACTGTTATGATGAATAAATAAATGATCGTGCACATGTGTAAAAGGTTTTCTGCAGCAGAAATTATACGCTGCATGAGGAATAATGAGTGTTACAACAGAGAAGGACTTTAATTATGACAGATGCATGACTGTCACACCCTTTTGTCACTACTTAGAGGTACTTCAAACAACAAATCAATGCCCTTTTTTCCACAGAATTGAATGCATTACTTACCAACTGCAGTTTACACACACACACTATCTTCACAGCTCTGATCAATAAAACTGTCACTCACACACAATTTCCCATGTATTGAAAAGCACTCAACAGAGCTCTGCAGTAATTAATCATTATGCACATAATCATGAATATCTGTTTCTATAGCCATCAAAAGTTGAAGGAATCTCTAAATCGCAAATCCCTGCTCTTTGCCATCCATTTAGGGAGGTCTTAATACAGTCTTGCAGTCTGCAAGCAGCTAAAAGACGTCTCGACAGGCTAAGTTCAATCCATTAGTGCTCTGTTGTTTTATGGGGATGTTTTCAAAGACTTTAAAGCCATCTCTGTAAAGTGCAAACACTTTCACTGTTATTACGCTGTTATAGCCACCACTGGGGAAAAAAAGCTATTTAAATGGAATGGTGAGCAGACAGTAGTCCACAGTGACCAGGGCTGAAAAAAATAAAAATTAAAAATTAAAAAACGGAAATCATTCACGGTTATTGCTGCCTATTGTGCATTTACAACATAACTCAGGATTGTAATCTGATGAGGACTTCAGGTGACCTGGAAAAAGTGGGAAGTTTCACACCATGCTG